TTGTTGTTGTTGTTGTTGTTGTTGTTGTGAGGACACTTGGTGTGTTCTAAGGGTGTTGGGATTATTACAAAGTTTTGAGACCTTGATTGTCCTCATTGGCTTTTGATGTGTTTGAACAAGTTTCACATCCTCAGGCTTCGGTTCCCATTTAACCAAAATATTACAATTTATCTCAGGTATTTCTCAAAATACTAATAAGTATTTCCATAAAATCCATGTATAAAAAGCTGTGGTGTCAACGCACATTATTGAAACTATAAAAATAGACATCATCCCCATGCTATGTTTCAATATTTGCTAAACGTTTTACAAATATCTCTTTTCATCCTTCTAACAATCTCATGAAATAAGAATTATCTCCATATTGAAGTTTAGGAAACTGAGGCTCAGTGTAGTTAAGTAGCTTGCCCAAGGTCAGATCACTAGCAGTGCATTTGGTCCATAGGACAACAGTTTTCATTGACCAGGTTTTTAAATAAATAATTTAATATTCTAAATGTTGCTCTCCTTTTAGTATACTCAGTATATGTTAATGCTTGGGTGTGGCAATTCCACGAATCTGTCCCCTTCCACTCAGTTCCCTGCTGCTGCTGATGCTGTTGCCACTGAGCCTGCCACCGCTGGGCTGGTGAGCCAGTCACAAAGTAAAGAGGTGTGTTGGCATGCCGTTTCATTCATTCACTGCTTTTACTCATGTCAAACATTAACCCACAGTGACTCGAAAGGAGGAAAATGAGGAGGGTGTGTGTGACGAATATATGTCTGTTTGGCCAGAGGGTCAGAGTGATGCTGAGTTTATAAAACATACCAATTTGGGGGTACTACTTAGCCAATTAAAACGCCGGAAACCATGAAATGTATGGTACAGGGTAGAGTACTGGAAGAAGTAAGTTCAAAGACATGAGCTCTGTGCCTTAGCACTCTAACCTGACCTAATTTTCTTGGAAATTAAAAAGCCTTTCTAAAAATGTTGGTTTGAATCACCTTTCCAGTTTAATTTTGTTTTCTATTTTGTTTTGTAACGTGGATATTTCTTAATGTTAATGTTATGCTGCTTTAAAGCATTCTGGGGAGGGGCCAATAATAGTCAATTAAAATACCTTCTAGGGACCAAGTTGTTTGCATTGTGGGATTTTAACAAGAGGCTAAATTGAAAGATATTGTCCATCATTTGCGACTTCTTGATTAAAATATAACAAAACAGAACAATCAGATTATCGATTTCATTTTTTTTTTGTCTTATTCTTTCAATTCATATGGACACATATATACCTTTTCTTTCTCCTATAAAGCAAAGATCACCTGTCTGTTCTGGATTTATGTTTCCTTCCACCCTTTCTTCTCATCCTATCACTCAACCTCCATCAGCCCCTTGGCCCGAAGTCATGGCTACATCTGTTGATCCCTTCCCTTTAAATGACACTCCTCCTCCTCTACCAGCTAAGAAACACAGAAGGCAGCAGCAGCAGGAGCAACAGGTAATCAGGACTTTAGAGTTTGGGAACTCTACCTTGACAACCACGTTACTTATGTGGAATCTTTTCTTCAACTTTTCCAAAGGTGTTTTGTTTTTTTTTTTAAAGGGAATTGGCATACTCCTTTGCTGGTTTTTTGTTGTTGTTGTTGTTGTTGTTGCTGTTGTTGTGAGGACACTTGGTGTGTTCTAAGGGTGTTGGGATTATTACAAAGTTTTGAGACTTTTTGTTGTTGTTGTTGTTGTTGTTGTTGTTGTGAGGACACTTGGTGTGTTCTAAGGGTGTTGGGATTATTACAAAGTTTTGAGACCTTGATTGTCCTCATTGGCTTTTGATGTGTTTGAACAAGTTTCACATCCTCAGGCTTCGGTTCCCATTTAACCAAAATATTACAATTTATCTCAGGTATTTCTCAAAATACTAATAAGTATTTCCATAAAATCCATGTATAAAAAGCTGTGGTGTCAACGCACATTATTGAAACTATAAAAATAGACATCATCCCCATGCTATGTTTCAATATTTGCTAAACGTTTTACAAATATCTCTTTTCATCCTTCTAACAATCTCATGAAATAAGAATTATCTCCATATTGAAGTTTAGGAAACTGAGGCTCAGTGTAGTTAAGTAGCTTGCCCAAGGTCAGATCACTAGCAGTGCATTTGGTCCATAGGACAACAGTTTTCATTGACCAGGTTTTTAAATAAATAATTTAATATTCTAAATGTTGCTCTCCTTTTAGTATACTCAGTATATGTTAATGCTTGGGTATTCAAAAAAAAAAAAAACATGTTTTGAGATGTCCTTTCAACTATATCAAAATCCTATAGGAATTTGGCCCAAAAGATTCTAAGAAGTCATGGTCACTAGATCACTAAAATAGGTGAGCCTTGGTTTGTTATGCCCAGTCCTTACATTTCTTGAAGGAACTGTTACTGTTTATCACCTTTTGTTAAAGGACTATATCCCCTCACTACTTTTAGGTTACTGCCATCTGAACTGGTATAAAAGAGAATTGGTGAAAAGGTGAATCAAAGAAGTGGAGAATGGAAGAACTAAATACCTTCAATTTTAATGTTATGTTTATTTCTTTAACACTTCATTCAGGGTAAAAGACACCTCTAGTACCAAAACAATTACAGTTTTCGAACCAGCTGTTTTCTGCCAAATATCTGTTAGACTGTGTTTTCAACGGGTTTCTTTACTATTTTATTGTTACCATTATAGAATATTAGGAAGTTTTCAATTTCAGAATTTGTGACATTTGGTCTTTAGTGGGAGAAAGGTTAAAGTGTTCCAATAACATTTTTCTAATTAAAACGAGCATTAATCAGCCAAACTGCAAAGTATTATTATCATAGTGTGAACTATCTGGCCCTGCATTCCAGCTTTGTCACTTTCTAGCTGCATGACCTTGGGCAAGTTTACTTAACCTCTCTGTACCCCAGATTCTTTATCTGGAAGATAGGGTAGTTTTAGGGATAGTAATAAGGGTTGCAGTTCAGGATTATTATAAGAATCAAATGAGATATTGTATATAAATCATCATATCTGTCACATAGTAAGCTCATATATTAGCTAGTATAAGCAAATAATTGTTAAGTTAACATGCAGATATTTTTTGTGATCATCATGTTGGAGGGCTGCTTATAAATTTGGTAACCTATATTTGCATTAATTTTTATATATTTCAAAAGCCTGAGCTTAATATTAAAATGATTAAACCTAAAGAATCTTTAATTAGGAAGTCACTTTACTATTGAAGACATTTGAGGGGACAAGAAAAATTTGAGTAAGTGTCAAGTTGGGAAATATCTTGCCTTAGAAATCTGAAAAAGATGCAATAGTCAACTGGAGAATTTTTAAGTGCATAGGGGCTCCTTGGCCAAGATCTTTTCAAATTAAAGAGTAACTAGAAGGATGCCTTCTATGGAAACTTCATGTGGATTTGGAGTGTGTTTATGTGACTGGAATATTATCACAACTTTCAATTTCCCTGTTTACTCGTTCTTCCTCTTCATCTTCTTCATTCTCCCCTTTCGTGTCCTCTTCACACGGGCATCTGTGCCATCACACAGAACTGTCCAGACAGACACGGGGAGAGCTGCTTACTTGCTGTGTCCACTGGCTATTTTGCCATCCACACGGCAACCATCATAATAATTTGTGAGGCACTATAGAAGTGAAAGATGGGTTTTTAAACAATTGTCTCGGTTCAGTAGTAAATTCTTCTACTGTCTAGTATCTTATCAAATGCTAGCCCAAATCTCTTAGTGAACATAAGTATAAGTTGAATAATTTTTTAAAATAATTCTGTGTTAAAATTCCAAAACTTCTTCATAAATGCATAATTCTTCATTTCTTCAGTGGTTCAGTAGTAAATTCTTCTACTGTCTAGTATCTTATCAAATGCTAGCCCAAATCTCTTAGTGAACATAAGTATAAGCTGAATAATTTTTTTAAATAATTCTGTGTTAAAATTCCAAAACTTCTTCATAAATGCATAATTCTTCATTTCTTCAGTGATCTATTTCAGTTAGTCAAGCTTTGCTGTTTTACTTTACATTTGCATTTAAAGCACTTTAGAAGTCTGGAAGAAAGGAAAAAACAGCATAAAGAAGGCCTCTATCTGAGTGACACTTTGCCTCGAAAGAAAACTACACCTTCCATCTCCCCACATTTCAGCAGTGCTACTATGGGGAGAAGCACCGCCCCAAAGGTAGGACACGGGAAGAACCACAGGCTTCACATTCCGTGGGTCTTCTTGTCACTGTATTGACGAACGTGCAAAGGCCTTCAAGGAAATGCTAAGTAATAAGCTATTAAATTTGCTTCTGAAGCAGACATCGTAACTAAATTGCATTTTCTATTCTATTCAGAGGACATTTGGAATTGTACACTCTGGGGCCAAAGAATGTTGTCCAGGGTATTTTCTACCACCACAACACAGGTGATGGGTGGCATTCACTTATATGACAGACTCCCGTGGCTACATCCCAGTTTTAGAAATAAGATAGGATATAGGCTCTGGGTTCCAGGAATAACAACAATAAACATTTATTGAGTTATTTCTACATTCCTGACATTGGGCTCAGCCCTTTGTGTGGATTGTCTCATTTTAAAACCCAGCAACACTATTTGGTAGTGGTAGTAATTATCATCCCAATTATATGTGTGGATAAACTGAGGTGTAAGGAAGCTAATCGACTAACCCTCGGTAGGTAGTGGAGCTGGAATGTGAACCCATATGCTCTGATGCCTACACCCTCCTCTGAGGGTCACTGCAGAAACAAAGAACAAGGCAAGTGAGAAGGAGGCTCTGAGTGGGACAGATTTTTGAACCTTTCCCCTGTACTTAGAGTAACTTTGTTTTCATCTATTTTATAAATTGGTGTTTAAGTATATTTTATTTACATGAAGGATTTGCTATTTAAAAAGAATGATAAAACCACTGGGCTATTAATGGGGTTGTTTTCAGCCTCCTAGATAACTAGGGTAGATGCATTTGCGGAAATGTAGATCTTCCCTGTCCTTTTGCATGGTGTGCATGCGTCTCGGCCCTGCCCTGCCCTCTGCTTGTTATGCATGAAGAACTTTCAGTCATTCTCTCAGGTGATTTTGGACAATGTTTTCCCCACCTGTCTTCATTTTTGGAATTGCTGCCTTTGGAGGAAGTGCTGTGAGGTTGAGACTGCTGTGGAACTTCTTGGAAGGGACAGTGACTTGCCTTTACCATTTAGCATCAGCAAATGGGACACAAAGACCTACCCTCACACCCTCTACACTTGAAAAGGGGCTGTGGACACAGGGATGGGGCCATTTCCCAAAGGGCCATTGGTACAGTTTGCCTGAAACACTTCCGCCTTGTTGTCACAGGCTCACCTGCCCCTAGGACAGAGCAACAGCTGTGGCAGTGTGCTCCCTCACTCGCTGGCAACCATGACCAAAGACTCAGAATCCCGGAGGATGCTCAGAGGTATGATGTACCTTTTAAATTAAATATCATGGTCTTATGTTAAGCATTAGAATTCGTTAGGGAGAAGGAGTGAGAATGGGGTTGGGGATGATTAGAGAGGGAGTCAACCAAAGTCCTGGATGTTACTCTTAATGTGTTTCCTTTGGGGAGGGATGTGTACAAGGGTACTTCCAAAAGTTCATGGAAGGATTTGTACTACCTTTCAGTTCTATTTTCCATGAACTTTTGACAGTGCCTTGTACATATATCCTTATTGTTGTACCAAGGTAACGTTTCTTGTTCATGTATATAGTTGGTACCTTTCAAACATACCCATTGTCTTAGTCTGTTTTCTGTGGCTATGAGGCTGGGTAATTTATAAAGAAAAGAGGTTATTTTGGCTCATGGTTCTGGAGGCCAGGAAATTCAAGATTGGCTGTCTGCTTCTGGTCAGCTTCTGGTGGGGCCTCCTGCTGTGCATAACATAGTGGAGAAGGGGAAGAGGGATGGGGCCGTGCAAAAGGCAAAACAGGAGGAGCAGCCTCACTTTAGGACAACCCGCTCTTGAGGTCACTAATCCAGTCCCACAAAAGCGAGGTCCCCTCACTTCTGCCAAAATTAACCCAATCCCGAGAGAGTGGCATTAATTGCTCTTAATGACCTAATCACAACGTAAAAGCTCCACCTTTCAACACTGCCACACCAGGAACCAAATTTCCAACACATGAATTTCTAGGGAACACACTTAAACCACAGCACCCATTGTACTTTATAAATTCAATTGAACTCTCAAACCAGAAAGGCCCCTAGAAAGTTACTAACTTTCCAATTTGATTGGTAGAAGGAGAACCTTTGCTTTTTCTTCACATAACGGAATCCCCATGCTAGTTTCACAGAGGAAAACAGCCAAGTTCCCTGGGTCACGTTATGGATAGACCCTTCGCAAAATCTGTTGTCTCTGATTTACCTTTTGTGCCCTTGTTCTTCATTTATATGTCTTTGGTACACCTGAGAAGGCTGCAGTTTCAGTCTTACTCTGCTGCAGCTCTAAAGGGGTGTTCCTGTTAAAGAGTTTCATGTGCTGCTGCCAGGACAGCTTCTGAAGAAACAGAGAACTGTCATGTGTGTGTTGATCCAGGGAGATGTGTCATGTGAGGCCAGCCCCGCCTTTGGCTCCCCGCAGCAGAGGAGGAGCGATCAGGGACTGGAGTTCTTAGAGCCATGGTAAATAGTTAAAATTGGCAGTATTTTCTACACAGCCTTTACTGGTGGCCCACAAAGACCAGGAGGATTGAATCATAGTTTCATTTAGAATTGTTTCATTTCTTTGCTTTTTCTTCACATAACGGAATCCCCATGCTAGTTTCACAGAGGAAAACAGCCAGTTCCCTGGGTCATGTTATGGATAGACCCTTCGCAAAATCTGTTGTCTCTGATTTACCTTTTGTGCCCTTGTTCTTCACTTATATGTCTTTGGTACACCTGAGAAGGCTGCAGTTTCAGTCTTACTCTGCTGCAGCTTTAAAGGGGTGTTCCTGTTAAAGAGTTTCATGTGCTGCTGCCAGGACAGCTTCTGAAGAAACAGAGAACTGTCATGTGTGTGTTGGTCCAGGGAGATGTGTCATGTGAGGCCAGCCCCGCCTTTGGCTCCCCGCAGCAGAGGAGGAGGGATCAGGGACTGGAGTTCTTAGAGCCATGGTAAATAGTTAAAATTGGCAGAATTTTCTACACAGCCCTTACTGGTGGCCCACAAAGACCAGGAGGATTGAATCATAGTTTCATTTAGAATTGTTTCATTAGTACTTGTTGGCTTCATTAAAATAGCAAATGTGAGTATAATTCCATGGTTTTGAAAAAATTGTACCTAGCACATTTTTAATAACTTGAATTTAGTAGACTCTTATCATTTTCTTTTACTTGTACAATTAACTTAAATTCGACATTTTTTTGCTGCTATTCATAATGGATACATCAAGGACAGTGGTGTAAGTATAAGCCTTCCTCAGTGAGCACCGTTGTAATAGAACTGATGTGAGTCACGCAAACAATGAACTCTGAGAGCAGAGCTTAACGCAGAGCCGAGGAACTGCACTCCTGAAGTTGCAATGGTTATTGGCTTTTATACAACTTGTGACCTGTTCCTTTGCAAGCTTTTGGATGAATGAAATCTTTGTCCTTTTGTTTTTTGTTAAATGCAGGAAAGTCCAAGAAAGGTATGACAACCTCCTTGTGTGGTGTTTTTGTTTCCAGCAAATGTCAAAAAGTCATTGTCAAGTCATCTTTAAGAAATGATCAGATTTAAAACTGTACAGTGGTGGATTTTTAGTCTCATGATTATTCCTTTTACACAATAGAGAAAAATATTCTCACATTTGCAAGAAACACAATGCTGGGTGCAGCTGCAGTTCACTCACAGGCAGCTGCATGACCGTCTTAACGGATTTTTAGTCTAATGATTATTCCTTTTACACAATAGAGAAAAATATTCTCACATTTTCAAGAAACACAATGCTGGGTGCAGCTGCAGTTCACTCACAGGCAGCTGCATGACCGTCTTAATTTTGCCTTTTTATCGCAAGGTCAGACCATGCAGGAAACATGAGAGCTATGGAAACATTGTTTTGTAAGACTCAGGTCTATAAAAAGAAAAGAGTGGGCATTGTGATGTATATGGGCTAAGGGTAAAACATGATGTTTCTCCTTTATAAAGGCCAGGGATAAATAAGGCAGCGTACAGTGGGGGGATGGGAGGATTTAGGAAGCTTTTACTTATTCGTTCCATATAAGCCTGTTTTATAAGAAAAGACTTAAGTGACTTGAATAAGTAAGATGGTGACTTGAATAACTAAGATGGTTATTACCATGGCTAGGTGGTAGAGATGTAGGATGTTAGAGGAACTGTTACGAAGTTCGGTGGACTGTGCTTCAAATAATAGAATGGCATTTTACAAACCTTAGCTCTTAAAAACTGTTTGCTACTGTTTGGAAAAAGAATTGTTTTATAGATATAATCTTGTTTTTATTCTTCTTATTTTCTGGTTGACAAATATGTGTGAGAGATTTTTTTTTTCCTATAACAAACCTCTTTTGACTAACTATGCATGTGTCATAAGTCTTTTTTTGTTTTAACTTTTTCTCTGTAAACTTAGATTTAATCTAAAAATGTAAACATCATACCTTGTTAATCTGGTATTGTTACTAACACCATCAATGATTGCATGTCGGAAGTATTGTACATTTTTCCTGTCCCCATGTCATCTTTTTTGATTTTGTATCTTTTTGCTTTTCTTTACCATTGTCCTCCTTCGTCCCTGACTATTCCTGTACCTTCTTCTGCTGTGGACTGTCATTAGGAAGAATGAACTCCTCAGCAGGTGAGCTATGGTAGGCTGAATTGTCAGAAATCTGGTTAGGTTTATCTTCTTAAACCCAGGTTATATTTTAAGTCATCTCTTCTATATTAAGGCCCAGGTAACCATATAAAAGTATATAACACACATTTGGATTATATTGGTATGTGTCTACATATCTCACAATGGTTAGCTCACAAAGGACTTTTCAGGTCCAATTAGCCAGAATTCATAGAGACCAGCATTAAAAATAGTCATAAGGATAATTGGGCCTTGCACATCTATCTGATCTGTTGGCTCTCCTGATAGTAAAAAGAGCTGAGTTGGGTTTTGTTCCTTGTACGTGCTATGATTAGCAACAAGTCTCAGGTATTATCAGGTCTCGGTTTATAAACCTGATAAACTGTCCCTTCAAACACTTATTTCTGTCTGGATTTAGAGCATTTTCAAGGCACTTTTTACTTTTTAGTTGCTTTCCCACTGCTGAAGTTATTCTTGCTACAAAATTAAAAAACAAAAACAGAAATTAAGTAAGTAGTCTCACAGGTTGGGAAAGTCTCATTTTTTCCCATTCCAGTTTCTTTGCTCCACCTCAAAGAAGAGATGCATTCCACTTCCTTATTTAGCCACTTCTATAGTTGGAATTCATAGATGAAAAAATGAATTTATTCAATGATTCTATTTTGCGACATCTATATGCTAAATAAACAAGGATGCTGTGGTGAACAGGACATCTGCCATGTCTTCCTCCCTGATAAAGCTTACACTGAGTGCAGGCTAAGCCCAGCTTATAGCTCTTCTGGTACTCCTTCCCTGCACCAGAAGTTCTTCTTGGGCTTCCTACCAGGTTATCCGCCGCCCGCAATTGATCCCCTGATCTTCAGTGGTGTTTCCTCTATCAAAATTATCTATGCCTTTGGGTGGCCGGGCCAGAGCCTGAATCCCAAAACCAGCTCTTTGGAATCACACTGGTGAAATTCCAGGGTCACAGGAGAGGGGTCCATGACCTTATTATAATTGCAGGGTTATCTTGTTTTTTTTGGATTTGTTCAGCAGACAGGAGGCAAAGCCAGGTGACATTTGGATTCACTGTGATAGTAAAGTGTTGCCAGTTAGCAGAAGTGAGTAGCTCCGTAAGGTGGACATTCCCACTCACATTGGATCCACAGGAAACAAAAATCCTGTGTTAGGAAAGATGTTCTCATTAGTCGTAGGCTTTTTCATTTAAGTTGTCATGAAGATGTAAGGTGCTTATCCTACCACCAGAATGTCTGGAAGGTTCTTTCAGACATAGAATCAAACCTCAACAAAGAGTGAGCTAGTCTGGGGAACTTATGTTCACTATCCTTAGCATAGTACACATTGTGCAACCACTGAAAAATTTGAGTCATTTTAGTTTACCATCTCCCTTACCTGAGGTCATATCTTTGTTCTCTGATCCTATGATACTTTTGAAAACAAGACAAACAAAAAGTTCACACCCTGGAAGATCTGAGGAGCAGGGCATACAGTTGCTTTAAGAAGAAATATACTCGCCCTCTTTTCTGCTTTTCAGAGAAGGTGTTTCTTTTCTCTTAGGGACTGATTTTTCCTCAATATAGAAAAGTAAAGGACAGGGGAGGTTGTGGCACATGCCATTGCCAGGGAGATCATTCTCGTACGTTTTAAATTAGGGATTTGTTTTCATACTAAAACAAGGAGTTGTTTTAGTTGCTGCCAGTGTGAAAGTTTTATATGCCACAGCCTTTTTTTAAAACCACAAGGAAATATACATGTGTGACCTTTTCAAATAATTTCTGGGTTTTATGCTGTTGTTATTGTTCTCCTTTTCATAATGAATAATTGGAAACAATTTAAAAGGAGCAATTAGTAATTTGAAAAGTTCAAATATCAAAGGTAAATGCAAGTGTTTGAGTAATGAATTATTTTGCTTCTCTTTAAAGAACAAAGTTATGAGCTCCACACTTATAAATGCAGTGGCTTCATTCAATGCTATATGCTTTAATCATTACAATTAATGATACTCCATTTAGTCTCATTGTGTGCTTTTATGTTTTGCATCTTTCCTGAGGTAAGTGATATGTGGCTTTAAAAAATATATGCAAGGGGTATTTTAGAAAGTTCATGGAAAAATAAAATTAAGAGATAATATAACTCCTTTCATGAACTTTTTGAAGACTCCTCATATGTACAATATTTACAATTTATAATGGAAGATTATATTAAGAAAACTTATTTTCCCAGAAATGCCTTAATCTGAAATAACATATTTTCACTCAGATATCTGAAACTGCTCCAAATACTAATGTCATGAAAATAAAATCATTTTACAGAACTTTTGAAGTACGATGCTTTGTTAAAGCATCATGGATATGGCTTCTGTTTTTAAATGGAAATGTTTAATCAACAGCTGAGGAAGCTGTTTGGAATTACTTCCCTTCTTTCACCCTCTTGCCTACTTTTTGGCCATTTTATTACTAATTAAAAACTTCACTGAAAAGTAGGTGAAAATAGTACTTTGAACTTTCAAAAGGAGAGAACAGAGCTGAGGTTACTAGAAGTGGAAAAGGGAGAGGAAGAAGGTTATTGAGAAATTAGTAAAGGGCCACAAAAAATGATTACATTGTATAAAGTTGAATATACTAATTATCCTGATTTGAGCATCACATACTGCTCGCAGGTATGGATATTCAATGCCGTACCTCACAGATACATACAAGCGATTATGTTTCAATTTTAAAAAGTGCCTTTAAAAAAGAAAGAAAAGTAGGTAAAGCACAAGAAAAGAGATGAAATTCAAATGGCCCAATTGTAAACTCTTATTAGCTCTGGTGATATCTCCCTGGGTAATGGAAACTACTCAGGTAGACATTTGTCTTATCATGGTAAAAGAAATTGCAAACAATAGTACCGGCTTAAGAAAAGTTTTTTTTTTTTGTCTTTTTTCCGTGTCCGGCAACGGATCGCAACCCTCAGTGTCCTCCCCCCCCCCCCCCCCCCCCCCCCCCCCCC